TGTTGCAGCGGGGCTCCAACTGCGATATGATTTGGTAAGAGTTTTTATGCGTTTTGTGCTATGCAACAGCTGCACAAAACCCGTGTTCTCACATCCCTGAATGTGTGAGTATGTATAAAAGCTGAAATTTTACTGTGATGCTTCCTCTGAATGCACAGCCATAGAATTTTAAATTCAGCTTTCATGTACGCTTGCATCCCATTTACGAGCGAGTGAAATTTTAGGTGGGAAATTTTTAGTTCAAAAACGAAACAAAACAGAAAGCTAAAATTGTTGAATATTTTCTGTTCATGTGTGAATCAACAAATTCAAGTTTAGCTCTTATGAACGCTTACGTTTCATCCACGAATATATGAAATTTCATAATTTTTGCGCATACCAGAACCGCTCGCTGGGGCGATATACGCTTCCCGTTCTGCTAGCAGCAGCGAGCGTTTCAGCCCAGGAAGAACTGACCTGTTTGATATTGCCGAAACAAAAAAAAAATGGGATTCGCTCGATTTTTTTTTTTCTGAATATAGCAGCGCTGGCTTGGTGGTAAAAGGATGCGTTCACCACTGATAGCTTCTGAAGTTGCAGATCGAGAATTTGCCGGATGCTCTGCACGATCCTTATGTATGCAGCATTTATCGAGCAGATTTGGCGCAGAAAACGCAAGAACTTCTTCAGTCATTCAGCAAGGGCAATGCTATTTTCACACTGCCAAATGCGCCAATCAAGTGTTCCGGTGCTGCCCAGAAAATATGCTACTTAGCTGACGAAATATTCCGGAAGGTATATCCGAAAAAGTTTTCCCGTCTTTGTCGTTGTTTTGATCTTATCGCTCACAGGCAAATGGCCCTATTCTGATCCTCAGAATTGAAGATTAGATTCTGCCAGTGGAATAAGCACCACTTCTACGAATCCTTTATTAGTTTCAACGGTTTCTTGGTATTTGCTTTGTCTGCGGTCAAACCCGTCACTAGCTTGCTTCTAAGGGATTCTTGAAAGAAGGAGGTCATTGATAATCTTGCTATATTCGATGAGCTGCTGTTTAGCTGAAAACATGTTATCACGTTGCCGAGCTTCTTCTCCGAAATACTAAGCATTTTCAGCGAGGTGTTAGGAGTCAAACCCATCTAACCTATAATACACCACTATCGGATGTATTCGACGTACCGAAATATGCAAAAACACTGAACAAAATTGTCGAAAGAAAATCGATCGAACTAAAATTGTTGAGAAATTTAAAAAGCGTTAATATTGGAAAACGTGAGGCAACATTTGAATTGCTCGAACAAGATGGTCGACCAACCGGGCAGTTCGAAAAACAGCAGGTAAACGTAACTTTTTTTAGGTACACACTCTTCAGTAGCTTACGAAGATTGGCCTTTATGCGTTTTTGAACGAATTATCACAAAAACGCACTCCGCTAAGATAGCATCTGCGATTGTGTATTTCTTTGCGTGTGCGAGTATTAACTACCTTAGCTGTGGGGATTAAAAGGCGAAATTTTTAAGGTTTTTTTTCTCAGCCTTCTGTGGATCATCCAGAAATAAAAATTAATTTTCTTAAGCCGATCAAGATGCGAGCGATTTCGAATTCTTGTGTTTTGTGAATTTTTACTATCCAGCAGCTCAATTTTTGTACAAGCGGTGAGTCTCCTTACAAAAAGAAGGTGAAGATTTTTGAGGCAATCGGTAACGAGCAAAGTCAGGTTAAATCTGATTCAGAAAGTGGCGAGAAAGTTATTCATATTCTCTGAGTCAGCGAGTGCAAAAGACTCATCATGGTGTGTGTATGGCAGCGCACGTGCATTTCGCCCAACAGGTGATTAATCACATAGTTTTTCTGATTGCAGTTTGATCTGCTTCATGTAGCACCGCCTTGCTCGGCGCCAGAAGTGCTACGAAATTCGCCGGAAGTAACGAACGCCAATGATTTTCTGGATGTAAATCCAAAATCACTGCAACACAAAAAATATCCAAATATTTTCGGCATTGGCGACTGCAATGGCTCACCGAACAAGAAGACAGCGGCTGCTACATGTTAGCTTCCTGTATTATTCTTTCATTCAGATAACCAAAATCTTTCGGACAATTAGCGCTCATTTCTCATGTCGGTAAGATGTAGCTGCACGCCGAGCACAGCATGTGATGCGTGTGTGTGTATGCTAATATGTATGTTTCCTGCTTGACGACTGAATAAAATGTGAATAATCTGATTGCCTCTAACCGTCCTCCCACTACGTATGGCTTCGTTTTGTTGTAGATGCCGTCAAGTATTAGATGTATTTGACCTGTCGTTGCACCGCTTTATTACGGTTTTCTTTTTTTTTTTTTTTTTCGTTGATAGCGAGTGATTCATCGACTGGATAACAAATTTCGGAATTTTTAGAAACTTTTTTAACTGAGTAGTGGCATAAAAGGCTCCGGATCTGTTGTTCAAATTTCCCCAGTGGGCAAACGTGGGAGAAGTGGAAAAACGATGCTTCATTTCAATTCTGAAAGTGTATACTCGCCTAAAAATTTTGTTTTACTTGCAGATGGACAAATGAGAACGCTCAGCAAAAATATCCCGCGGTTTCTGAAAAAGAAGTCAATGTTAGAGACGGTAATTTACTGCTATACGTCACTGATTGCTGGAT